CGAAATTCCAAAACAAACAAACAAACAATACAACAACTGTTATGTGTGAACACCTTTACCTAACTAGCGAAGCATGCTTATTAATTAATTCAACTTGTCATTAGTATCAGGCCCATTGTATTTTTTAACGCTACGTTTTTTATTCAGTCCTCTATGGTTTGTCAAGAAGAGGAAGAAAGTATAATAGTATTTCAACCACAGTATGCCGCCATATCCATTGCTAATGATGTTCGCTCAATACAGAGATCATCGGGCCGGCTGTAACACAAGAAACACATTAGTGGTCGGAACATAGTGTAGTTGAAATTCTATTGTACACTCTGATATCTTTCTCTTTCTATTTAAGTTTCATCTTATCATATATTATGCAAGTAAATATTCTATTGTGTTGTTTCTAGTAAATATTTTTTATCCTTTTGGGTCACATTGATTTCAACTTTTTTTTCAGAAGAACGGGAACATATTGCTCTTCAAACAAATTTTATTTTATCTGTCCGTTTGAATAAGATAAACATGTGAACTCTAATCTACAGAAAAAGTTATATATTTTGTACGATAAAAGTTCTGAAATAAGAAGAGTCACGTCACTTGAATCTTAAAACTGTCATCGCTTTTGTGTTAGATTTTCCCCAATATATATATATTTAGTAATGGTTGTTTTAAAGCTTATTTGATGTTAATCTTCTGCATCGTTGAATTACTTTAATTTCTTCGTAGACAAATTGCCGACTTTATATCGCCACCGTTTCGGAAAACCAGATGCAATTCTTTCTGAATTTCGCTATCCTTCGTCATTGGAAAACATTATACATTCTCAGTATTGTAGTGACAGTATTTTATGGACTTGAATATATACTAAAACATTTTTTGTAGTTACAAGCTAGGTTTCTGCTCGGATTGACTGAACTTGGATTTTTGTGTTTTAGCAATATAAGACATTGAGGATTAATGTAGTCAGAAACTTAAGTGAAGAAATTATTATCTTTACATCTCTGAAAATGGATTTAGTCAGAAACGTCAATGAAAAAGTAATGACCTTTACACCTCTGAAAATGAACGTATTCTGATTCTCAATGAGGAAATAAACCTTTATAAACCTGAAACCACAGTAAAAAAGTAATGTCATTTGCAGTATTGAAAATAAGTCTAGTCAGACCCTCAGTGAAAAAATAACAATTTTTTTTTTTCGATAGAACCTCTTTACTAAATTTCAAACGAACCTCTTGAGACCTTTGGAAGTCATTATCATTTTGTGCCTATGATATTTATTAGGAACATACATTATAACGGATGTTGTATACGCCATCTGGAAACTATTCATACGATAAATCTAACAAGTATTTTAATAAAATTATCTGAAAGGACGTTTTACCCCGACAAAGAAGGATATAGTAAACAGGAGGAAAACAAGACAACGGAAACATGATAAAAAATCTATGTTAATTTTTTTATTACAAATCTATGTATGTGTTGTTTATGATAATCAAATACAGCTACTGTGAGTATGATCATCTAGAAAGCGAATACCACAATGTAGAAAAACATCCTGAAATAATGTTAGATTTCGTTTAAAGTCGTTTATTCATTTAAACCTTTTAAAATTCTAAAACTACCCAACTGGACTACAAATATGCAAAATTTTCTCTACCACATATAAGTAATATTCTGTGGAAGAGAACTAGCCATTGGAACTAGTAACTTGATGTTACACCTTGAGCCATTTATTGGCTGTAAGCATTATTATCGTGTTTTTAGTATAATAATTCTGTGGCAAAAAAAGTTGAGGTTACTTCTCACTCTTATTAATATGTTTATATAAAACAAAATGAAAATATCAGACTTTCCGGCTCGTTTTTCAAGGGTTCAAACAGCTGGTTCATCCATTTCCATCCTCACAAGTGGTGGTGGTTCTTTTTTAACCCTCCCGTTAAGAGGGATCTTGCTTCCTAGGCCCCATATAGTTTCTTTTCTGTGACATCTTGCTTCCTAGGCCCCATATAGTTTCTTTTCTGTGACACACAATTTCCAACTTGCCTTTATCTGCAATCCTTGATTTTTAAATTGCTTTGAAACAAGTTAGTGCGTCATAAAGCAGGTGAAGGAGATTAAAGAATAAAAATCTAGTAGTTGTTTTTTTCCGCTAAAATATATATCGTCATAATAATAAAACATGAAACGTATATCGTCATAATAATAAAACATGAAACGTATATCGTCGTAATAATAAAACATGAAACGCATATCGTCATAATCATAAAACATGAAACGCATATCGTCATAATAATAAAACATGAAACGTATATCGTCATAATAATAAAACATGAAACGCAAACCTGCGTATTTCACAAGTTGTATAGGTATTCTAAATAATAACTGAAGTGTACATTACATCTACGCGCTTGACCTTATCCAGTAAAAGATCACTGAAAAAGAAGAAGAAAAAATATAGAATAATTCCTGAAAATTATCTTTGTATCAACATCGATCAAAATCCCTCGGCTAACCACGTGAATAACTAATATTGGATTATAATTACACTAATTTGTAGTAAATCCGTCAATCAGGACATCAAGAAATCTATGGACATTCTTCCCGAAAGATGAGCCTTAAAAAATAACGAGATATGTTTAACATTTAACTCACTAATACGGTAGTTGTACATAATTATAACATAGATTTACATCATAAGAAATTTCAAATCTCCTCCTTTAATTTGATATTTATGAAGAAAATAGTATTGGATCTATAAAGTATTTTGAGATATATATTAGACTTAGAGGCAAAGATCCTTTTCTAATAGTGGATTATTTTCCCTGGCTCTTTATGTTTTTTTTTACATCCCTTTTATAACTTTTACTTATGTTGTTTTTTTTTGACATCATTATTATAGCTTTTACTTATGTTGTTGTTTTTTTGACATCATTATTATAACTTTTACTTATGTTGTTGTTTTTTTGACATCATTATTATAACTTTTACTTATGTTGTTATTTTTTTGACATCATTATTATAACTTTTACTTATGTTGTTGTTTTTTAAAATCAAAGTGGTTCCGAACAACAAGTTTTAGATCCTCTTTTATAGCTTATTTATAAACTAAATGTAGTAAAAGTTATAGTAATGATGCCGTTTTATCTTCACGGACCACAATGCGATCTATAAACTGTGATACAGAATTATTTCAGTAATTATGCAACCTTTCTCCGGATCACCTGAAAGTAGCCCAAGAACCATTGATCACGGAATGAAAATCGCTGAACTACATTATACAAGTAGTACATGCTTAACCCCTATTAACCCAAATTTATATACCGCTAGTTTTTATGAGTGAAACGTTGTCAACATCTCATGTTGAAGGAATATTAACGCTTTTACCATGGACAATAAATATCACTTAGTAAATAATAATCGATTTGCGAGAAAAAGTTACAGACATCACGTTTTACAATTCCAATTTAAATTTATGCCCAAGTATCCAAAATATGTTTTTCATTCTACCCGTGAATTCGCACATGAAATTGATTTCATTTGAATCGGGTAATTTTGAAATAGCTTTTATGAAACTTTCTGCATATAAATCCCATAATACAAAGCAAGTGATCTGAAAGGTAATGTAAGTAACACAATTTGAATTTTAGAAATTCTTTCATTTAAAAAGTTCTAAGATTTATGAGAGAAGGGTGCCCAGAAACTAATTACCATTATATTTCAACCCACGATTAAGTATGATTCATCTACTGTCAATTCACGTTACTCGTTTGAATAGGACAAAAAAAAACGCAACAAAGCTCGTGGCTGATCACAAAAAAAAATCTCTTCAACCTATGTGGAAAGAAAAAAATTATTGCGTATACAGGACAGACAAAAGAATATTCGAACTTCCTACCTTTTTCTTTTGTGCCTTCGTAGCTCTGACGTCACATGCAAAGCTTTGAAAATTGTAAATCGAAGTGATTCTACCACGAAAATGAATTGTGCTTTTCCAGGCTCAAATTATCTGCTTTCTCAACAAAGACTCCATACACAACTGTTTAACAGAATCCATACGTCACGAATTCTTCCACTACATCTTCCAGCAGGTTTCAAGACTTCAGTGGGCGGAAGCAGAAATATATCATAGATGAGTGAATTGTGAGTATTTGTTATACAGTTCGAAGTGTACGTTCTAGTGAGTTTAATACACATACACTAAAAATATTGAGATCGACATTTCCATTTTGCGCGCTTATAACGCTAAAAATTGGCAATGGATAGATGCAGTGGGCACAACGCAGATAGTACGTTGTGTAACTTTGCACTTAAAAACAAACAAAAATAGTGTTTTTTGAAAGTACATATACAGACACATACAACGTACTGTCGCTATAAATTGTAGCAATAAAACCTTAAAATTCTCACTTCAATGAAATCATTAAGATCTGAATTTTTATGTAGAGGAAATCCCATACAAAATTAAAAACAGTTTTCGTAGCGATTGCTTCACTGTTACTAACACTAAAGGCCCCCCAGTGGCACAGCGTGATATCTGCGGACTTATAACACTAGAAATCGGGTTTCGATACCCGTGATGGGCAGATATGCGAGCACACACTGAAATTAAAACAAGATAATCATGTAAAATCTGATTTTATTTCCTGAAAAATTGTCCTTTTTCCATTGTATATTTGAAAATTTTAGATCAAAGTGACCTTAAGGTGTGTAACTTACATACATTTCTCTGTACAAACACGTAAGATAAAAATCTTATATTATGGTCGCTTGTTGCTCGTAGAAAATTTATTGTATTTGTTTTGTTTGTTTGTTTGTAGTTATGCACAAAACTATACAATGGGCTATCTATTCTCTGCCCACCACGGGTATCGAAACCCGGTTTCTAGCAGTGTAAGTCCGCAGACATACCGCTGTGCCACTGGGGGCCAAATTTATTGTAGATTGTAAGCTTAGCATTGTCAACAAATCCCTGTGTGTGTTTTACGTATTATGCCAAACTGAAAGCCATAGGCTCTGTAGCTTCATAACATCAAAGGCAGTTTTAATCTAAGCTTTTTTTTAATCTTCCATTTTCTCAGCGTGATTTAATTAACAAACAAAAACCTTATTAAGCGATTCGGATCTACGACACTAGCGCGCGAAATCGTGTATAATACAAAATAGAAATATTAACAGAAAAAGAGATTAGTTTTTTTATATCCTTTATCGACTCAATTGCAGTTATGATAGAAAAAGTTATATTAAACGGGCTACTTTTGCTGTAAACATTTCATTAAAATCAATTTAGCAACAATGTACTACAAGTCTCGTATACACAGGACTTTATGAGATTTTTAGATAACCTGGCAAAGCAGAAACTTCATAATTGTGCTATCAAGTGTGTGTGTGTATCGTTAATTACATTCTGTTGTACTTGAAACATACACTTTTATAACATATATATAGTATCCTGTAAAAGGTTAAGTTTTTCATTATGTAAATATATTAAACACAACTTTTTGTCGAAATAAAAACTTCATAAGATCGAGAGGTCTGTATGTATACATTATTAAGGCTTTGTAAAATTTCGACTACTGTAGTATAACAAAAAATGTTTCTTGAGGTCACCGACTATGCCTCCCTTTCAGCTTTGAGGGCGTTATAATGTGGCAGCTAATCCTCATATTCGTTTATAAAAGGTAACCAAGGAGTTGGCGGAGGTTGGTGTTGGCTAGCTACCTTACCTCTTCAAAACTCATCACTTCAAAACTAGAGATGGCAAGAAGATAGCCCTTGAGTAGGTTTTCGTAAAGTTCGACCAACAAATAATTTTGAAAGTGGTCTTATTGACCAATACAATTTAGAATTAACCTTAAATAATAACTGAACATATTGTATTATTTTTATCTTGGATAAAATAATTGATTAATTTATTTTTCATCTTTTTACGAATTTAAAATCATTAAAGTGCACCTCAAACAAAAAATAAACGAAATATTAAAGGCACAATATTAAAACTAAGAAGGAAGAGTTAAAATTAAGTGTATTCACAGCTCGGATTTAATTTATTTTCAATATTAATGGCGCAAAGCAACTGAAATCAGTTTCGGTGTGGCTTTTTCATTTGTTTCGGATATTCTCGTAACTATAAGGAAGGCAGCTAGTCCATAGCATCCATCGCAACTCTTGGGCTACTGTAATCGAGTGGTTGGATTTGACCGTCATATATATTATTCTATAGAATGCAGAGTGCGATTTTTTGTTGCAGTATCGAGACGCTAACCTTGAACCTTCGGATGCACAGCCCAACACGTTACCACTAAGCTACATTTTGATTTATTTGAGTGTGGGCTAAATACCAAAGTACTAGCGTGTAAGTGACTGGGTTTTGATAGCTATGGTGGGTACAGTACAGTACAAACAAATCAATTATTAGAAACTAAACCCAATAACCCGGAAAGTGGACTTTCCTCCATTAAGGGTAAATGATAAATACTGTTAAAGTTTTATACTTCATCATTTAAGAGGACAGACTACTGCCACCATAGCCACTTTTTAATTAATAAAGCTTAAATAATCGTAGAAAAATCGACATTAGCCAATTGTTATATGCAATGTTTTAATTCTTTATTTAATCTATTAGTTTAGATACGTAGCATGTTTGCTACGTATTAGAAAAGCAGGATTAATTGGGATTCTACTTGCTTTGAGTTTTTAGTTCTTCAGAAAATAATAAAATGTATAAATAGGTCGGTGTGCTTATTGGATATGTTTCATTTCCTTTTTGGGTTTGGTGTGAACCTTACGATTTGGATTGTTTACATGGCACGAGTATTAAATTTAGTATTTTTAGGAGTGATAATTTGTCGCGGGTTTACTTTAATAACTGTTTATGAATCATTTGTTGTGTAGTTCAATTGCTGTAAATTGACGTCATCATACTCGAACCTTCTGAATTTTTCTCGTTGCTTTAAGTGAATATTGTTGTATCATAATGTTTGGTAGTTTGTAGAACGTTCTTGGCCTCAGTCGGGCAGTATGTTAGTGAAGTAAATAAGATAGTGAAAGTAAAAGTGAAGTTTGACTGCTTGTGAATTAGCCGTAACAGGTTATTTTTAAAGTGAGTTTCACAGCTTGTATTCTAATAACAGAGATAGAGGAGAATAATTTGTATTGTCAAAGAGTGTTCTAAAGTAATTGAACCCTCCTGTGTGGACGAAAAGGAGACAATCATTTAAATTTTTGGATACAATTATGATAACCAATAGTGTAACCAATTTTTATACATACGTTTGACTTGTTTTGGATATATTGCTTTAAAACAAATGGATTGTGTGTTGTCCGTTTATTGTTGAAATTTATCGCCAACAAGTCACAGACACCTACTGTAAGGAATCCGACCCTATAAAACCTAACAGTGCCATTCTTGAAGTTTCCGGTACAAACTACAGGTAAATACTGTTATCAAGGTGATTTTTTACAGGATTTAATTAATTCGATATAAGAAAAATACATAGCACAGTATGTGCTCTCACCCAGATTAGCTTCAAATCCACTCTTAACACTGTATATTTGGTTTCTCTTAAGCAAATACGCTTTTTTTAGTCTTTTATAATACAAACGCTGTTAAACTCAAATTAATAATTTATTTGATACTTTTAATTTTTTATACTTTTCTCTTCCATTCATGTTGTTTTACTACAGTTAAACAACTAATTTTAATTAAAAACTTATCCAGTGAAAAAACCAGTGGTAATGCAAACTTTGACATCGTTTAGTGTCCGTGAAGATGTTTGGGTAATGTGAATATGTGGAAGGGAGCGTAATGGTTTTCATTGTAATATTATATAAAAATCGCACGATGTGAAAATCTCAACCTTAATTTTCTAAACCATACTTATTCAATATGTATTAACTAATTGAAAGTTATATTATCTCAACACAATAACAACAGTTTGTTTGTTAAAATTGTTCAAATCTCCTCAAGGTCTATCTCTACTAGCCGTCCATAATTTTGAGGTAGACTAAAGGGCTACTCCTACCACACTCAATAATGGAATTTGACCGTAACTCCTATAATGCACCCACGACCCGAAAGAACAAGACGCGTATTTTGTTTGTGGTGGCAATGGGTGCGAACCACAAGTCCTCAGTAGCTGCGTTTGACTGGAAGAGCTATTTGGAATTTTGTGTTATATCTTCTCATTAACAATTCAACATTCTGTTATCATTTATCGTTCATTTTTCTAGTGTATATATTGGTATCAAATTTGTATGCATTTTCTTGTTATTTATCTGGAAGTTTAAGAAAATACCACAAAGAAGTTTCATAGTTTTTTAAGGCAGCTGTGAACTGCAACACTAAACACCCATGCAGAACTTTGTAACAAAACTGGGCACCTACATAGTTGTGAATTAATAATACTATTTAATCTTTTAGGTTTCACTGGGAATTCCTGATATGAATAGATCGAATAAGGGCGTCATAATTTATCTCATGTTAGCCATATTCTCTCTAAACAGAAGCTACAAGCTGCAAGACCCCTATCAGGTGCAATTAGCGATATTTATTTATATATATATAACGTTTTGAAGTCAGTCAGTTCAAGAGGGGGAGTGTAAGGTATCAATTGCTAAAATTGTTTCACTGTAAACTAAAAATATTAAACATGACTATAATATCAAACTTTCAGATATCTTTTCGTAATACCCTGGCATGGCCAAGTGGTTAGGGTTAGTGGTAATAGCCAAGTGGTTAGGATTAGTGGTAATAGCCAAGTGGTTAGGGTTAGTGGTAATAGCCTAAAACATTTAAAAGAAATATCAAAAAGGGAATCTTTATTGCGAATAGTTTGTTTGCTTGTTTTGAATTTTCGTGCAAAGCTACACGAGGGCTATCTGCGCTAGCCGTCCCTAATTTAGCAGTGAAAGATTAGTCATCACCACCCACCAACAACCCTTGGGCTACTCTTTTTCCAACGAATAGTGGGATTGACCGTCACCTATAACACCCGCACGCCTGAAAGGGCGAGCATATTTGGTGGGATGAAGATTCAAACCAGCGACTCGCAGATTGTCCTAACCACTTGGCTATTACCACTAACCCTAACCACTTGGCTATTACCACTAACCCTAACCATTTGGCTATTACCACTAACCCT